CCCATAACAAGAAAACCCCATTTCACAGTGTTTTCTCCAGTGATGTTCCTGAGGCTGATGCAGTAGAGACACTTCCTGCACAGACCTCTGCAGCCCAGGGCCAACAGCAGCTTTGCAGCTCTTAGCAAGGCAAGCTGACATGCGAGATTGATAAGGAAGGAGCAGGTCAACAGGCAGGAACTGGCAGGGCTGCCCCAATACGTGCCCCTCCTGCATCTATCATAGCATTAAACCCATCAAATGCTCCTGGTAGAAAAGCAAACAAGACCAGCATAAGACCAAGATACATAAAAAGGCCCAAAGCAACATTAAATCATCTGAAGATACTCCCATTAAAGAGAATTATTGTCCCCATTAAAAATCAAAGCTATTTAGAATCATTGGCTCCTCAGCCAGTTCCCTGCTTTTCGATTAAGCAGATTTTTTTCCATGTGGGTTTCTTGTGATTAAACACCTTATCTTGCAAATCCTTGCTCATATCACCTCACCTCAAGTAAGCAGTCCTAATGGATAAGGAGTATTGGCTTATTAATCTGTTCTACATTTGCCTAATTCTGCTGATTCCAGCTTGGTTTGCAAGGCAAGAGGAGATCAAGCCAAGGGACCTACTCACAGAGACCCGAGTTTGCAAGAGAAGAATTACAGCTGTGCCTACCCCCAGACACAAACAGGAGCACATTAAGAACTGTCCAGACTCCAAATCACCAGAGCTCCAGTCAGCTCCAGTCTGGAAGGCACAGAGCCATGTTAGCATAAGACTGTGAAGATGCTGATAAATCCACCTTGACAAATTTTTTTTCCTTCAGACACATTCACACCCTAATGTGTCTAAATAGCTTCCTGAGCAAAGCTGGCTTGTGCCCTAGTGGCTTGGAGCTAACCTGTGACAGCACCAGGCTCTGTAGACATTCTGTAAGGTGAGTACATCCCATATTGACAGCATTCAGTGCATCCTTCATAATAAAATGAATATTCTACTGGTCTCTAATTGACTGACCTGCTGACTGCCTGAAACTGCCCAGAGACGAAGAAATGGAAAGGGACAAATTGCTTTAAGAGTAATTATATTAATAAAATGTAATGCAGCGTTGTCTATCATCTAGAAATTCTGTTAGTGTCAGGCAGAGAAGCAAGTGAGAATCTCAAATTCCATAACTCAAACCAGAAATTAAGGACTTGCTCTTTTTTAAACCAGCCTTGCATTTGCCATGATTTCCATAATTTATAATGCTGGAAATTACCGTTGACATCCATAGACTCTCATGTTCCAAGTTTCCTAATATATTCTTTCCATAGATTTCTGCCCTACCCTTTCTGTGGTCCAGGCAGGATTTCTGAAGGCTCTGTGCTGATACCAGCAGTTTGATGAAGTGCAGTGGCTTATTTTTGCTGTTTCTGGGGAATACACCCATCACTGCTCGCTTGGGTGTGTTTGCATGCATGTGTGTGGTTCAGCATGGTTGCACTGACCCTTCCACTTGGTCTCAGTGAAAAAAAACCCTGATTATTCTAAAGCAATCCTGAAACATGGCTGAAAGAATGGATACCAAGCCCATACAATGGCTCACTCCCTGGTCCCTCTTTCAGACACCCAAGTCCTGCAGGAGTGAGCACAAAATATTAACCTTTTATGGTCAGCTATGGGATGAAGTGGGTCTTGTCTTGCTTCATTTTTGTTTGACAGTGCTATAAACATATGAAATTAAAGCAGTGCCCCAGCCAAACCTTTTCTGATGAATTTCTGTTAGAATTATTGCAGGGAGCAGCAGGGGGAGGGAGGCTGGGGCACAGCTGCAGGGCTGAAGTGCACAAGTCAAACCCTGATGGCTGAATCTAAGAAGTGATTTGATCTGTCACAGGTACTTAGGCAGTGACACCCAGAAGAGCATCAGGGCACCCAGTGACACAGAGGGCGGGACAACTTGATCAGGCATCTCCAGCTCTCCTGCAAATATGGGTCAGGACTCTGGGCTCACCTAAAAGTACAGGTTAGCACACCCTCACTGCATTTCCACTCGGAGAAGTCCAACTGAGGCACACTAGGGGACATTAAAAGGGAGGGACATTAAAAGCTGGGAGGTGAGAGCATCTCCTCAGCCATCCCCACGTGCCCAGCTCTGCACACTCCTTGCCCAGCGTGGTCAGACACCTTGTTCTGAGATCCAAGCCCATGGCTGCTAAAAGCTTTTCCTTCCGTTCATTTCCTCCTCCTCCAGCGCTGCTCCTATCGATTTCTCTTCCTCTAACTGCTCAGATCTAAAAGCAGAGCACTGAACTCACAGCACTGCTTTCTGACTCTTTTCATAAACAGGGCTAACACTACTACAGATCAATCTCTGTGGAAGTCATTTTTCCTTGCTTTTTTTTTTTTTTTTTTTTTGACTGAAAGCCAAAGAATTTAGACTTTGAGAGGCTTGGTTAGGAGGCATATTATGTGATTTAAATATAATGTGTAGTCCAAAAGCAAAGATTTGACACATGGGAGAGGGAAGGGACAAAAAGAACACTTCTCTCTCTGAACAGTTGAAGTTATTAAGAGAATAAGTTAATAAGGCCACATGAAGCATGTGGAGTTACAGTCTGCAATATTGGGGCAAACAAGAAAATCAGGCACTACAGAAAAGGAAACAAAATTACAGCTCTTATAACAACAGTATTGCATGCAATTTGCAACACAGATAATATATGTATGCATGGTAGAGCTTATTAAAAATTCCAAATATTTTCTTCTTTAGAAATTCTTCTTTAGAGTAGCAATAGTCTTCTGCTATTGCTCAAAAAATAGAATAGCTCTATCTCCTTTTGTCAATAAATCACATTAAGGTCAGTCTGAGGAGCAGCAGAATATAAACGTCTTGTATGCAAAAATCAAACAATGTTTGGGGCATAAATGTGATACAAGTGCCATCCAAAATATGCTTGAAAGAGAGAAATGAAGTACTAGTGCTTTAGATTTCACAATTTATTTACAGAGTGGAAGTCATTGAAATCTGCTTCTCCTTAAACTATCTGTTCCCAGGCTTTAAACATTCAATAACTTCTCAGCCAGGGAATGTGTGCTTTTTCTTTTTATTTTTTTCTTTCCCTCTATTTTCTCTGTGCCTTATCATGTGCTAAATATATTATTGCAACACATTAGTTACTTTGGTCCACAGCTCTGAAACAAAGCTCTAAGAATCTCACAGATAAATCACTGATCTGAATAAACTGATTATCTGTTCTGGATTCTCTTCTGTAGGATTAAAAAAAAGCCCAAAAGATAAGTTCTGAAAACAAAACCAAGTCTGTTACATCTCAAAAGGCCATGGGTTTTCACCTTCAGTCTGTGCATTTTGGATTTTTTTCCAAGTCTTCTGTACAAATGGTAAAAGCTGCATTTTTCTCAAGTTGTGGGACAACTGCCCCATGAACAGAATATACTTTTAAGATTGCAAGCTTGTGTTTCGATTGAAGTTTTGATGGACTGTGTATATCTTCCCTCAAACCAATATTTAATAACTTGCTTTTGTGACCTACTGAAGCAAGACATCTGCACTACTCTGCACTTTTGTTTCCAATAGACTCATATTTAGCCTTGGTACTGTTGATAGATAGGAGAGAACATCTTGGAACAGAAAAACCATGAATACTTCCAGATCTTCAACTACCACAAACACCTTCTTTTGACATCCTCATTCTCAACACCATCTTTTTTTTTTCTTTTTTTTTAATAGTCAATGGATGCCAGATTGGGGTTATGGACTTAATTAATTTTATGTCTGTGACATGCTCACTGTATAATTATACCAAGCTGCGCACTATTAGATAATTATTTTTGGTCCTCAAAAGAGGAATTCAATTTGTTTAAAATTATTTTAGCTCCTTCAGAAAGAAAGATATTATTTCCCCTTCAAAAAGCCATCAAACTAAGTGATAAAGCAACCCCATTCTGGTAATAAAAGACTATGGCACTGAAGTGGTTACAAACCATTTTGTTCAACCAGACTATTTACAAGTAGCAACAGGGTATCTGTTTCCTGTCATCTCCATCATATATCTTGAGGCAGAGAGATTGGAGCCCAATTACAGCCTGATATCTAATCAATACACACCTTATTCCTAGAGCAGGAAGTAAAGGAGGAGGCCCCTGGGAGCCAGAGTTCAAATTACTCTGCTGTCGATTCCAGATAGCAGCTAATGATAGGATATATTTCTGGAGAGGGGGGTGGGTGGGAAGGGCAGCACGGTTTAATGGGATTGTTAATACAAGGAGCATATACGTATTTTAATTTAGACATCTGCTGCTGAATTCCAGAAACCCTACGCGAATCAGAAAAAAAAAAAAATGACCCAATTTGCTATTCCCTCTGATAGCTTTTGGGACTTAACTTTGCTAAAATAAAGCATGCAAGTGATAAGCTCAGTCCAAAAACCCTTAAATGAGATTTGTAAGCTACATTTGGTGAGATTCCTGCCCCTGTCCCCTTTTTCAGTTGCTTTTTCATGGAGGAGGACTTACTCTCATATGGATACAGACTTTATGGAGCTCCAGAGATTTTTCAAGCAAGCCAGTGAGCATTTCCCTTTCCCAGCTAACCAGTTAAAATTACTCAGTTGTGTGCATGGACTCACCAAGCCAAATCTTGCACTTAACTGAAGGCAGCTGTCTCTTGACTCTGGGTCAGTTACTCACTCTTTGGGAACATCTTTAAAAGATGCATCTTGGGACTATCTGTCCCTGGGTGTCTACTTCTAATTTTGTCAATCTGCCAAAAAATACTCCCCCCCCTAGTTACCTATTGTTTTGAATTCCTACCAATCGTTCAAAAAGCTGCCTTATGTATAGCAGCCCTTATGAAAATGGTGGGAGTTTCCAAGAGTTACCCTAACTCAGAAATGCAAAATATGAAGAGCAAATAGCCTGAATAATCAAACAAAGTCGCATGCTACACTCAGTACTCCAAGAAAGAGAATGAAGCACAGGGGCATAATAAATCTTGTTAGTATTTAGCTTTCAAAACTGTCTGGATGGCTGCCTGGTGACATGGATTCCTTCTCAGTTTAATACAGGTTGGATTAGCCAGGAATTCATTGTCTTTTTCTAGAGAGCCAGGATACAGACCTACAAAATTCACAGTAAACAAAAGCAGGCAACAAAACCACATCGGTGGGTTTCTGGTTGGAAGCACTGCCGTAGGCTCTAAGGCTCCCAGCTTCTGCACCCCGAGCAAGGCGGGTAAATCCCCACAAGGACTGGCTCAACAAAGACCTTCAAGTTTCTAACTTAACCTTCTACATCCCTAAATCTGGTCTTGGATCGTGTTATGCTTCAGTTCCTCCTCTGACACACTTGGGTGAGTAATCCTTCCTCTCTCCTGTCTTAATTATCGTCCATCTTAACTTATGATACAAATTCTTCTAGCCTGTGACCACTGCAATATATTTGTACAATACTTAGCACATTTTCAGCTTGGGATTTCTTAGTCTGACTCAATAGTGGTATTGCTGGTACAGAATTTCACATAAATGGGGCCCCAAGATTGAATGATACCTCTAAGTGCTGCTGTACTACAAATAAATAATTATATAATATACATAAATCTTGCATTTTTAATGTCGAAGTCCCATGAGACAGAAAAAAAGATTTTAAACGAGACAAGAACTTTCTAATTATACTGCATGTTGATGATCTTGGAATAAGTACAAAAACCATTAAAGACTTTTCCTCTTTTTTTTGCCTCTTAAATAGGAAAAATCTTTTCATCAAACATAGATTGAAGCCAGTGATAATGTAACTCTGGCTTACTAAATAATAACAGTGCAGGGCTTTCTAAATAGCCTACTTCAAATAATGACTTATATTATCCTAAATTCAAAAGCAAACAACTGGGGAGAAGGAAATCGCTAAACGAAGAGCAACATTAAATTCCAGAGGGTGAATGTGTGCTGCTAAAGGTGTGGTCTTAATGGAATTTGACCTATATCCATAATTTGGCTGTCACTCAGCGCCAAGTCTCACAGCTCAAAGACCGCAGAGGAGCAGGGTGTGAACAAAGCAGGGAGCAGAGCCTCCTGCAGGGAGCACAGGGATAAATGACCCTGTAGTCACAAGCCTGGACACCTGGGATGGCTGCTGTGACTGCCCTTTGGGAAGAGGTGAAGGTGCTGGATGGTGGCTCCATCTCTCAGTGTGGTTTGCTCTCCAGGCTGGGACAATCCTCCAACATCCCTGCAGGCTCAGTCACTCATCCCAAGCCTCTTCATGTCTCTAGGAGCTCAGGGCACAGAAACAAAGAGAAGGTGGCTACCTACATTAGGTCCAAAGCCCTTGGGGGAAAAAAAAGAAGATTATGCTAGTGAGCTGCTCTTATCCCAGCTGAACTGTTGGATGAACTTCCAAAAATATCCTTGAATTGGCATTCTGCGTACAGCTGTGTTTATGAAAGGCAATATCATGTATGTAAATAAATTCAGATGCTGCTTGAGTTATTTTAAAACAATCAGTAGAACACTAATCATTTTATAGGCACAATCTTATCCCAAGAAAGTGACAACTTGGTGCATATACATGTACTAGAAGTTAAAGTTACTGTTACATCTCCACACTGACATTAAACAAGATGTAGATTTGTCTTAGAGCCACATGAACATCTACTTTTGTTTTCTGTGCAGTCTGCTTGCTGATACAAGCTTTAAATACAGGAACCTAAAAATCCTTTAGCCAGAGCTCACTACGGGCAGCATTAGATGTACCTTGGAAGATGTGGAATCCTCTGCATGAGATTCCTCCCATGCCATGAGCTAAGGGGGAAGAAGATGAGCACCAGCAGTGCCCCAGTCCCCACCACCACCCCGGGGAGCCCAGGACATGTCCACAGGATGCCTGAGCCCTGCTCTCCTGGGCAGGGTGGGTTTGTGGAACCCAGACAAGAACCAGCCCCACTGCTGGGCCCTGGCCAGCAGGCACGTGTATCACAGAGCTCCCTGTGTTTAAATCCATTAATTATCTCCCAGTGTAAACAGTGGGAGAGCACTGTGGTTGCCTGCTCACAGGGAGATAATGCAGTTTAACCACTGTCTGCTCTAACTCCATCGCCGAGCAGGCACAAGGAAATTTGCAGAAATACCTGAGTGAGATGGGGAGACAACAAACACATTTCCTGGATTTGGCTCCTATCGGCCCAGAGCAGCTGGAGATGATCCTTCACCTCTGCTGGACTAAGTTAAACCATGCATATCCCCTGGGCTGAGCCAATGGTGATGCTCCCTCTGCCTTCAGGGGAGCAAGGACATCACCTCAGGAGAGCCTGACCTTTGCACTTGTTTTCCTAACACAGGCCACAAAACCAAAACTGTTATCTTGTTCCTAGCAGCCCCAAAGTAATCCCAAGGCATCCTCTGCTCAACAGTTGAGAAAGCAAAAGCCCTAAACAGACTGAACAGACTGAAATACCTGAAGAGGGTAGTCAAAATATATTAAAGAATACCTGGCTACCTCTTTATGACACAACACCAGAGTTCTGTAATTAAGGTGGCTGTTTCACTTAAACACTGTGCACTATTCCTATTTATTCCTTTATGATTGGAGAACAATCTGGGTCTGAGAGGCCATAATCTGCCTTAGTTTGTTATGTAATATAATATCATCTTTTTGCCAGTGTTAGCTCCCACAGATCACATGTCCAGAAATATGAATGCTGCTATTAATGTTAGCTCTGGTTTCTTTTACATTTTCCTTTTTGAGCCCTGCACAGCAAGGTACACCATGAGAGCTAGAGAAAACACAGCCCATGCACCGAGGGTACATCAGTGGGAGATGGAAAAAGAGCTGAAACTTGCATGCTGAAAAACTCAAGTCTATCTTGAATTTCATGTGTCAGCAACGCAGCATCTCTTCAGGAACAAAACAAAAGCTGGTGGCTAACCAGTGTCACTACCATTAACCTCATCCTCATCTCCAGGGTCCAAAGTAAGAACTTAAAATAAGGCTTTTTATAGCACAAAGTTCCCCTGTACAAAACCGCAGGATTACAAAACGTCGATGGTTATTGCAAACTTCCCTCACAAATGCTAATGAATTGTTTTCTTTTTTCACTCCAATCCTGTTGTTTCAAATGAAAACACATCACTGCTTTGTTGCTGAGCACTTTCTCCCACAGTGCCCTGCATAAAGACTTGCTTGTGCACACTCTGGAATGTGCTTATTCCAAGATGTTTAATTGTCATTTCTTCCACCTTACATCAGAAGCCTGTCACACGCATTAATTAGGTCCATAAAAATATGCTTGAAAACCCTACCATTTAAATATGAAAGAGAGAGAGAGAAATGAGCACTGCAATTTCCAAGAATGACTAATGTCTTGCTGGAGTTAATTCTCTGGATTGATGGCCCAATTGCCAACGTGGCCAAGGTAAGGCATACAGAGAGATCTCTGGCTGCTCACCAGTCAGCACCACCTGAAATGACAACTTTTAATTGATATTTCCAAATATGAGTTTGATTTCAACGAAAAGTTTACTCGAGGAACAAACAACAAGCTGCCATTTATTGAATACACACACAAAGAGAGGAAGGGGAAACCAGGTCCAGCCAGTGAATCAGAGACCCAGGGTCGTTCTGTGAGATTGCAAGCACTGACACACCAGCTCCAGATGCCTCAGAGAAACACATAAGCAACCTGTACAGTGGATTAATTTTAACTCCCTAAAGCAGCCATAAATTTAAATAAGACCCTTTCCTGGCCAGAAACCACAGGCTGGGTTGCCCTTTCACAATAATATAAATGAGGAGTAACTTCATTTATAGCCGTGGCATTGCAGGAAGGATTTATTCTGAGTGGGGAGGCACAGCAGGGAAGATGCACTGGGCTTAGAACAGTCCAACTCAGGAAACAAATGTTTAAAAAACAGCTTTGCTCCTGCAGTAGCACTGACATTTCTGTGAAAATGAACAGTATTTTGTCTTGCCCCAGAGAGGAGAGCTGGTGGCCAGGGCTTCCTGAGGGCATTTATCCCCTTCATACTCACAGCCCACTGACATTCAGCATTATTTTCTGTTTCCATTCCCAAGGAAAAGAAGAAAATTACATTGTAACCTCTAATATTTGGGGTATTAATATACATTTAACTATATCAGTATATTAAGATACATTTACAGCACAAGAAACATTCATTTGGAGACTGAAAAATAAACTGAGCACCATCCTTTTGATACCACTGAGGCAACAGTATAACTTGCAGAACTGAAGATAAAAATCAAATAAAATTCGAATTTAAAACTTTTCCATTTTCATATGTTGGCATAGTCTTTCATACTTGAGGAAATTCAACCGCTTGACTTATATAGCCCTGAAAAATAAGACATTATTCATATACTAACTTAACTTTTCTAGTATTAATAACTTTTATTTTCACTGGGAGAAAATTCTGCTGTTTGTTCAGAGTGACCAGAGAATCATGCAAAATGTACCTGGGGAAAATATACAAACAACAAATAGCTTTCTGAAAAATAAATGAGGCTTATATAAGTACATCAACCAGTATTGTAAAATTTTTATTATTTTAATATTGTACTATTAATAGTACAATCAACAGCATTTGCTTTCATATATATCTGGAGTTAAAACAAATAAAGGTCTTTTTAAAGTACATGCAGAAGCATATTCAAACCATCTCAAGTAAGACATCTTCCAGCTAATATTTTGATGATCTGCATCCTTAAAATTCATACCAACATTTATGGTAGGAGGTCAGAGTAGTCTAACACAAAAAACCTGAAACCAGCAACACCCTATATAAATAGGAAGCATTATAATAATCTAGTAGCCAGACACAAAGAAGTTAAATATATAGTTCAAAATTAATGCACACAATCTAGCTCTGTCTTCTGTCCCTGTTCACCACTATGATATAGGTAGCTTCTTAATTCTCACCAAGTTATTGTCCTCCAGCTGAATGCACAGACAGCTGAGCCTGACATCAGCACATAGTTTGGGTTTTTATTTCAATAACTAAAAATTTGAATACTCTGATCAGTCAAAGAGAATTTAGCCAGGCAATTAAGGTATAATCAGACTTAGATAATAATGTATTTAGTAGAAGTCAAAGGTAATTGCTATAGAGAAGTGCACCCACTATCTGGAATCAGACGTGGCCCAAACCCAGAAACAAGCATCCAGAATCCTCCTGCTGTGAAAAAATCCTTTTCAGAATCCTTTTGGATCTGAATCTTGCTGGTGACACTGGTGACCTCTCCCCCTCTGCAGTCTTGCTCTGCCCAAGCTGGTGAGGTTCCAGCAGCCACCCAATAGAATGTGGCTGTTTGCTCAAGAGGTTTGGTAGGTCCAGAATTGAA